GTCTCACTTGCTTTGGCCTGGCCCACCGAGGCTCCACTGGAGCGGATTCATCAGCTCCTTTCTGGACAGCACCATGTTGTGAGCACCTACACAGGATTGAAGAACTTGATCGATGAGACCTATCGAAAACTCCTCAATGCGCAACTGAAAAAGACCGCGGAGAGAATCCATGAGCACATCCACCAGACCACGGCCTGTGTGTCGGTGGGCCTGCCAACCAGCATTTTGGCTGGCTTGAGTCGGTGAAAGGTTGTTTTTTTGCTATACAACTGGACATAACCTGGATTGTCTTGGGATGAAATTTGTTTGCCCAGACGCTCCAAACAGCCCTTGGTCCCTCAAAACCTAGGGGTTTGAGACCCCAGACCCCTCCATATGAGGGCCCATGAGCGTCTGGGTGGACATTTTTTCGTTCGGAAGATCAGATCTCGGAGATTTGGAGCTCCGAAAAAAGCCGGGAGCCCCCCAAGGGAGGTATGGGTTGGAGGGGTTTGATGCAACCGGGTCCTGGAGAAAACGCCTTCCCCACCCGATTCCCCGGGGGTTCTCACGTTTTTGGGCGCCTTGGACCTTGGAGTCTGGATTTGGAGGAAGTTCCATTGCAGATCCGGACATGATTTCGGAACGAGGACGGAAGCGGCATTTGTGTGAAGGACGAACTTCCAGTGCATTTGGAATCGATATCATGGCGGCATGGCGGTTGCTGTTGTTGAATATGATGTTTTGGGTTTCCCAGGGTTCTCAAGTCATTCCGAGGACTATTGGCTTTGTCTCTATGGGCAGCAAATCCTGAAGGGCGCATGGCTGAGGAGAACACTCCTGAGGAGAAGCCTGCATCGCACGATGAAGAGTGGGTGCCAAATGATGATGCTTCTGAGGAGATGGGGGCGGCTTCCCATGAGGATGTAGGACATCGGCAGCAGGAAGTGAAGCGGCGCGTGGCACAACACAACACCACTGTGAAGAAAGTGAAGGAGGCCAGGGTTCGCAAGGCTTAGGTTGTGGCTAGCTTGGGTGTACAAAGTTCTTTACATGAGCGAGTCATGCGTGGGTTTTGAGTGTTTTGGTTCCCATGGTCTTCAAAACAACTTGATGACCCACAGCAAAGCTTTGAGGTCTTGCGACCCTTCAAGCAGAGCTTGTCCGTGGAGGAGTTTGTGGAAGGGGGTTGCGAAGACTTCCCACCGGAGGATAGCCGTACTTTAGATCTTGAGCAGTTGAATCAAGATGCGAAGCACTATTTCTTGTTGCTCAAGGGTCTCCTGCTTTTGAACATTGAGATGGCCTTAGACCATCACGTCTATGCATTCTTGAGCGGAGAACTTCTTGGAGACATGTACGACAAGATGTCGCGGCACCTAAACCAAGCGGTGTCGAAAGATGAAGACTTGCGAAAGATGGTTGGAGGCCTTGGGGGTTTAGTCGTTCGCCGTTGCGAGTGAACATGCATGCTTGGTGACGTGCGAGTGAACGGATCAACGACGAGGCGAAGGTTTATTTCACGGTCCCTTGGGGTCTTTCACGGTCCCTGGCCATAGCTGCACGCCCTAAGAAGTCGGGCATGTCCACCGAAATCATGCAGAAATCAGGTGAAGAGAAGCGGAAAGAGCTCCAAGGCGAATTAGACAAGAAGGAAGAGGAGCTGAAGAAGCTCCAAGACGCCCGGTGCAAGACATTTGTGCGACTTGTACTCTTCAGCTCGCTCGCTGATGAGCGGGAAGAAGCACGGGACGGGACGTGTGCACCAGCTTCTTCACGGGTTCACGGCCAAATCGTTGGATCGAGGAGTCCTGGCCACCCTGGCCCCCTGAATTTAAGAGGGTTTGACCAAACAATCCATTGTTCTACTCAGGATTGGACACTCCAAAACCCGGGTCTCGTGCCCCTTTTTTTCGATCTTCGAGGGGAGTTCGAGATGACGCTCGACACCAGTGTCGGGGGTGATGCTACGTCATGGTACTCTTCGGCTCTTGCGTCACGACAGTCGGTGGTTACGTGACTGAGTTCACTCCACCTCCATGAGGACCATGGAATCGGTGTATCTCTGTGTGGTTTGACATAGAATGTTATATATGTCCTTTTGCAAAGAAGGCTCTAGCAGACCCTAGCAGAATCTTCCCCTGCCTTCCTTTCTTTTGATTGAAGTGAGCACCAACTCAACAAAACAGCGAGTTCTTTACCAAAAACCCTAAGCCGACTGATTTCTTATAGTAGTACCACAAAATCACTTACCAGCGACCCCTGTCGTTCAATTTGATTCCGCCGTTCATGAAAAAGACGCCAAGACGAGAAGCGACTGGGGCGGCGCCGAGACGAGAATGGAAGATCTGTTGGACATGTTGCTTCTGAAACTAAGGAAGCCGAGAAGCTTCTCGACTGCAAAGCCGACCTTGGCCGTGCCACGCACGCCGGAGCGTGAGATGGGACGCGGGAGAAAGCCACTGAAAGTGATGTGGCCACGTCTTCCAAGACAAACAAGTGATCGCCTACTGTAATGCATGTATATGTACGTTGCATTGGACATTTTGGCAAAACGCATTTCAACTCCAAGCTGTCTCACAGCAGTACCCAGACACTCCATGTACGGAATATTTGCCTTGACCCCTCAAACCACCCCAATGTAGGTAATTTGTGATATATGCCACACATGGAGTGTTTGGGGTATGAGTTGTTGTGTTCAGACCTCACTCGTAACTCGTGGCAGAACACATCCGGCAGAAGTGCGGCAGAATGCTCCAGCAACCGAGCATAGTATGCTCAGAGATGGACGAGAGAAGCGGCCCATGACTTAAGAGTTCTTGGTCTTGGAAAGCATTCAAAACTTTGGCTTTTGGGTATACAACATTATACAACGGTTTTTGGGTAAACAATTACACTCAAGCCTCACTTGCTGTTACCCGCTTGCTGTTATTTTGGATGTTTCGGATCACATAGATGACTTGAGATCGTTGGAAGGAGTCGAAAGGCCCCCCCCAAAACAACGCTCTCAACACGTTCGTCTCCACGTCCTCCAGAGCGACTTGCTCAGCTCGAATCGGTGGGGAAGCCGACCGGGGCTGGTGCGACCTGCTCAGCTCGAAAGACGAGCTGAGAGAGGAAGGCTGACTCAAGCAAGCCTCACTTTCTCGCCTCCCCTGCGAGAAAAGGCAAGAAGGTCTCTTGTAAGTCTTGGATTGTATACTTCGTGCTTGACTATCTTGACTCTCAGAACCCGATCAACCTGAATGTAGAGACCGTGCGCTTTGATTGGTTCGCCGAGCGTTCTGGTGAGCCGATTTATGTATCGTCACCCTGTTTTCCAGGCACAACGAAACTAGCTGCTTAGGTGCTGAGCTGCAAGACGCGCCACCACACAAGTTGGTGGACCTTGCAGTGGACCTTGGCCTGTGCAACATCAACTGAGAAGTTCCACGGTATTATGTTGTAGCACATTGGGTCTCTTATTTTTAAAGGACAATGATCCGATCCCACTGAATGAACCACCGACAAGAGGGGCTCCTCCTCGAAGTCAAGTTGACCAACTGGGTTGCGATGGATGAACCTGTGGGACTTGTGATCTGGAAAGACACAAACGGTGGGTCTCCAGGTCTCCAGAGACTAAACGTTTGTCATGTGCTGTTCCAAACACGTGCTTTGTGGTTCAAATGGATGTTCATGATTTGTCATTCACGTGGGAGCACTTCTAAACCCTTAGGCACCCTGGGGCCTTTAGGGATTAGGCAGGACAACCATTTTCTGCGCATGCTGGGGAGCTTGGCAGGATATGGCAGGACATTCAATCAGGTTCATCTGTTCTCCCTGGATGCAGTCCTGGTGTACAGCCCTGGTGTTGCAGCCGGCTTGCAAGGTCACACAATCCAGGTTGCATCGCAAATTAATGAAGTACCTTCCTGTGGTCCGGACCGCATGGATCCCCCCAAAAACCAGTGAATTGATGTGATTTGGTATTAGGACACATGCTCTTCAATCCATCTTAGTCCGTCTGCAGGGGGCGTAGCAGGACCATCAGTCAGTGACCGAACCTCTTTCGATGGATTTTCGGTCCAGTTCGAGGTCACGCACTGAAGGCTGTTGGTAATTCAATTCCGGCAGAGCTTGGACCGCGGGAGCTGGGCGCAGGCCAGGAGCAGCGGTTTTTCTTCCCTTTTTTTACATGCACCTTTCTCAGGGTCTTTGTGTTGCAGATTGTTGTGTGATATTTTATGCTCAGGGCTACTCAATGTCATCAGTCTTTGTTGCACAGTGATTTTCTTAGGCTTGGCTGCAGCCCGTGAAGGCATCGTTTAAATCACAGGCCCTTGGACAGTCTGCAGTGAATCTTGTTCGTAACGCGCAAGCGACTGATACACCAGAATGCAACAACCACATGAGAATACCGAAGAAGATGACATACTTTTTAAGGAGCCTCCAAATCATCCAATACCGGTTTGTTGAGGAGAATGACCTCGCAACCTAAGGGATTCCTACATATTCCTACTGAAGAGCAAGGGCCCTAGGGTTCCTGTCCCATCTCAGAAGCTTCTAGGTTAATTAGCTGACTCCCCCACCACAACCACATGGACCCCGACGGGCGAATGGTTGGAGAGGTTGGGTAGCTCCGAACGGAGACCTCTTCTGGGGCCAAGCGGCCGACCCCGCGGGCGACAGCGGCCGCTGGATCTGACACACGCAACCAAGACGATGGGCCCGTGCATGATGAGTTCGAAAGAGCGGCTGCGCAATGAGAGGCTTCACCTGACTTGACATGACTTGATCTGAGACTCTCTGACTTCGACATTTGGCATGTCTCCTGGCGCGGGAGACAGATCGAAGTATGGACACAGTCGTCCTTTTTCGACTTGCTTTGCTTGGATGAATGACCGATTTCCCTGCGTGTTTTGTTATCTTCCAACAACTTGACACGGGCCGACTGGGCAAAGAGCAGTGTGACTGGTTGGAAATGGTCATTGCTTTGCTGCAAGAACAAACAACCGACTCTGCACAGCCCTGCACCGCCCCGCAGCCTGTTGTGCACCTCAAGCACTCGCAGCCGTCGTGTCGTTACGATTGCTTCCTTTAGACTTCAAACATGGCTCGGTCTGGAGCGTCGCACGGGCTGAAGGACCGGGAGCGAGACCGAGAGGCTGAAGTACCGGACGGGAAGCGTTGGCCCCACCTTCAAATCATGTAGGCTGATTAATCACCCCAGCCATTTGATTTGAACATCCAATTCATATGGGGGGTGTATCAATCAAGAGTCTACATTCATGGTAAGTCTTGTTGGTTCGGGCACCCTTAGTTGTAAAGTCGCAACCCTTTGGCAGGTGGTCCTTGGGAAGTGAGTTTCAGAAGAAACCCAGTTGTCCCAGATCCTAGACCACCTGGTGAAGGCCAACCCCAGTAACCACACTACAATCGACACATTATATATATATATATAGAGCATATATACATGCATATATATCTACAACCTGATTGACCCCTGTTTTGGAGCCAAAGCGTATGGTGAAACTTCCCATCAAAGACGGAGGTGCCCGTTTTCTAGGTGTAGCAGCTACATTTGAGACACAGTGACCCTGGAGCTTGCCATGGATTGAAAATAGGTTTATTTTCTGAAAAAAATATGAATCTGATGAATTCCTGAAATATGAAATGAGAAAACCCAATTTTAGCGAATATAAAAAAATATGAAAATAATGTAACTAGAAAAAGACAGGATCCCCTCAAGGAACATTTCAGGAATTCTTCAAATCCACCATTTTTCAATCTTTGGCAAGCTCCAGGCTGATTTTCATATTTTTTCATATTATTTTCATATTTTTTTGATTTGTTTTTGCATTTGTTTGTGTATTCTGTCCACTTTTTTCCATATTATTTTCATATTTAAAAAAGCGACCATATTTTTTTCATATTTTCAGAATCATATTTTTTCAAATTTTTTCAGAAAAAAACCTAAAGCCAAGAATCCCTATCCTCCAGGGATACGTATGTCTCAAAGCTACATACCACTTCTGAGCTTCCTGGTTCTTCCCCCCCTTCTCGATGCTCGAGTCCAAAGGCGCCAGCTTTGCTGAATGCCTACAGCGCGCTGAAGACGGTGCAGGAGATGGATCCAGACTTCAAGCACAAGGTGCCTCCGCACGGGCATTGGGCATTGGGCATTGGTCAGTTGGTCTGTTTGTGACAGGTTCTTCTCGCTTTCCACAAAGCCGACTTCCAAAAGCCCGCCCGGTCGACACAGTCGCGACGCGGTCGTGCCCTCACCATCCCGTGTGCTGTCGCCGAGTCTGCCAGGTCCGCGTGCCGGTCATGGTCATCACCGGGACCCAGTCGGCGGGCAAGACCACCTTCATCGACGCCCGGTGCTGTCCACGCGTTCGACGCACGCGCGCGAGTGCCTTCGACGCACGCGGGAAATTGGGACGAGCGATTGGGGTGTGGCCGACACTCCACCTCCGCACCAAGGAGGCCATGGTGGGCTTTCCCGTGGGCTTTACAGACCGACGCTTGGTGGGACCGGACACACGCCGGGGGACAGCTGTCGATGGAGTGGTGAAGAGAAGTCCGGTTGGAAAAGAAGAACCAACAGAGGTTAAGTGACCGTAAATAGGACCCTACAGGGGTACCGGGTAGCTATAGGATATAGTCGAATATAGTCGAATTAGGGGTTCTTTAACCTCTGCTTGGAATCGTCACCTGAGTTGGACGTGGGGAAGTTTCGGACGGTTGGGGAGTGCAAAAAGAAATCCCTCGATGCTTGGCGAGTGCTTCTTCGGAAACCAAAGCCGAAGAGACGGTTGTGGCACGGGGAGGATCCAGCGACAGGTTAGGCATGGGAGGATCAGTCCAGCAAGAACATATAGCCTGCAGCCTTTGAGGCTCGGTGCTTCTCGGTGCTTCTTCAGATGTCTTCAGCGTTTCTGAACCCCTCTCAGAGAATCCACTTGTATCTCCCGGTTCGCCGACCAGGTATCTCTCAAGAAGATGAGCACCTTACTTGTTGGGAACTTTACGCATCGAACGTCCTGAACTAATTCTGACAGAAACTCTTATATAGTTGTCATCTATTTCTACTAATTAGTGATAATTAGTGACTGTAGATGCTGTTGCCCTAGTGGGTTTGAATGCCTTGATCCGTCCCCCCATAAGTCCAGTTTAAGATTCACCACCTTTCACCAAGAAATCAATTCAATTGGCTGCCTACAAGACCCATTGGAATCATTGGAAGCTATGCAATTAGACCCTAAGGTTCAAAGCCCTGCAACTCAGAGCGTTGGGAGCTTTTTTTGAGGCATGAGGTATTGAAGTAGCAATATGTTTGCACATATTTTTCCGCAATGCAACATGTGACCGTGAGGCGCACCCTGTTCACTCGTTTCCTCTCCAGTGCGCCACACCCTTCGCCTGGCTGCCCGTCCACCACCATAGCCTCAGGGAACACGGGCACGCGCTGCCCGGTCCGCTACGTTTTGAGGAGGTCGGAGGAAGCCTGCTACAAGGCCATCTGAATCGACCGAAGCCAGATGCGATGTGCGAGGTGCGAGTAGAGCGTAACGTGGAAGGGGCCTGTCCGGTATGGTTGTGGGGAAGGCACATAGGAAGTCGTAGCATGTTGGCTGGCCTAGTCTGTGTCCACCCGCTTGCAACAATTCCCATTAAATCCACACATTGCAGAAACGATAACATCACCTCCACATGGAGCAAAACATGACCCGAGCCACTGGCTTGTCCTCACTGGCAGAGCCTCGCAGGTGGCAGGACAGGAGCTCAGGGGTCAGAAAGAGGTCCGCGAGAAGGTTACCGCGACTTGGACCCCAATGAGATGGCTCACCGGGGTCGTCGCAAAACCGGGTTGCCCGGAACTCAACTCACGGTAATGTAGACTCTTCATGAATGATCCTCGCATATGAAGAGGTGTTTCAATTCACATCGGGATGCAATCAAGAGTCTACATTAAGCGGCCCATGTCTAGATCTGTCTATTCTGTTCATGTTGGGGAAAGGCCAGGTTTTCTCGGTGATACCTGCCGTCTGACACGTGGGTTTGCTCACTCCGTGCATTCCTTTTTTCGTGAAGAAACCAACCAGAACCTATCTCGGGATAAGTGGACCCTGGCAGGGAAGAGGAGAGGTTGAGGCTCCAGATGCCTCCAGAGCCTTGCACGGCTTCTGTGCCAGGTAGGGGTTGACCACACGTTTTCATCATAAGATAGTGAAGCGGCAGAGGACTAAAGTGGAGAAACTTCGCAACACACCAGCAGAGCTTGGTCCTGTTTTGGAAAGTGTTTGAGGTGGTTCTGTGATGTTCTACTCCAAGATGACTCTAAACTAATCTATATAATGAAGAGGACACTTGAACAGGACACTTGTCCTGACCATTCCGCCATTCCTTTGGACGGAGTCTTCTTTCCGCTTTTGGGCCAAGCAGATGATCCAAGATGATTTGGTCATAGGCCTTCCGTTCACTGGAATTCATGGTTCCAGTGGAGCGGGTCACAGGTGCGCAGCGTGCGCGTAGCGAGCAGCAGCTTGGTGTTGCTTGAGCCAAGGCGCAGATGAAGAATCTGGAGTTGAGGAAGCAGTTCATTAGTGAGGCCGGTTGAGAGGTTGAGAGGGTTGCAGAGTTTCTCTGCCACAGGGTGTGGTGTCAAGTGGTGTTTTTCGTTTTACAATCCATTTGGCTTCTCTAATGGTAAGGGTCTAATGGTTAGGTGGCAATCTTCCTGCATGTTGGCGCAAGGAACTGTCCGTCGTTTCACGGTGGCCTTGGCTTGGGGAAGTCTCTCGTTTTGAAGACGCCTCATGACACATCCACTGCACTTGACTGGGGGACCAGCGGACGAAGCCGAGAGAAGCCGAGAGGACGAGGATTTGGGACCCTCTGAGGGGGGATGGTGACCGACATGCGGATGGGTCGAAGACCTGGAATCCCACCTTCAGGTAGCTGGTCAACAAAGGTATTTTGGATGTTTTTGGACCCATAAACCGGCGATTTCAAGTTCTTCAACCATAATTCATACTTCCAAACGATGGCATTGTTTCGATCGACCGCTTTGTCGCGTTCTTTTCTAAGATGCGATCCTCGGTTGGCTTCGAAAGGGAAAGTCGGCATTTGAACCATTGGGTTTCACGGGATTTTAGTGGCTAAGCTTCCTGTTTCCCATCATGCGCCACGCTAGCCAAGAAATAGAACGATGCGTGTTTTTCGGCACACCACTGCTCATCCAAAACCTTGTAAGTGGAAGATGGCCCCAAAGCCTATAGATCCTTTCTTTTTCTCTGCGTGTGCTTTTTGGGCACCATGACGGAGTACTTGTACACGTTCACGCACCTGCGCCGCCCGGTTTCCGCACCTGGCAGCCCTTGGTGGTGGAGATCAGTGAGAAGGACCAAGTGGACATCGACATCGCCGACCTCCCGGGACTCAAGGACCGTCGCCGACCTGGGAGGAGGGGACCGTGTTCAGCTTCGGAGAGGCGCAGTTCGGCGCAGCGATCGGCGCCAAGCGCAAAAGCGAAAGCGAGGACCGGGTCGGAGAGGGCATCGTGAAATGGATCATTGAGAGGCTGCTGCGGCGTCTTTTTTCCTCAACACGGAAGCACAGTATAGTTATTTGAGTGACAATGCCCAGATACTCGGAATCATGGGAGATATCTCCGAAATTCTCCAAACATGCGCTGATTCTAGGAAGAAGGGGCGAGACTGCTCGCGAGCGAATGTCGATGGCCCGAATGCAGGATCGAAGCCAACCTGATTCAGAAGACATTGCGAAGATTGTGAAGGAATATCTTCGAAATGATCGGGTGATGCCGGTCGTTTTGTGCAAGGCGCGGAGTGGAATTGACGTTGATTTCGATGTGGCGGATGGTGAATTCAAGAACTGAAATTGCTGCGTTGACCAAATCCACGACTTGCACTTTTCACGTGTGGGTGTGGGCTAGGCGTTTTTGGACTTCTATCGGTGACTGGACGAACATTTCTGGGACAAATCATGAAGCCTCACGGCTTGGTCTGAGTGAAGGCCAGGTCACAGGGCCCTGTGCAGCGGGTGCGGGCGCCTTGTCGAGTTGAATTGAGACAGGACGGACAGACCAAGAGAGATGGGTTGACGTGACCAGGACCACAGGACCAGGTCGACCTGGGGTACCCAACTGGGATCATTGAACGTTCGGGTCCTGAAAAACCTCTGAACAGTGGGAGTTGTTGGGATGTGAAGTACCGGGAGGGTCAATCCAGGAGCTTCAGTCAGTGACCTTATAACTTTGAGATCCACAGCATTTTCACTCATGGCTCGTCCCAGGGCCGAGTTAGAGGTCACTGGCAGACTCCAGGCTCGAGGTCATGTACTGAAGCTCTTTGGTCCTTGGTGCTTGTTGGTGGATATATGCCGACATTGGTGGTCCTGGTGCTTTGTTGGTTGTGGGCTGTGGGTCACCAAAAGACTGACCTTGATTTGGTGTTGGTCGTTCGCTGGACTGTTCCTTCCTTCCAGTCCACCCATAGCCAGAGCACCTCTCGACCTGACGGCTCCGCAGCTGCCTCTCGACCTCAAACGCCGCCCGGGCGGGCCGGGTGAGGCGACCCCCGGCGCGGGTGAGGCGACCCCCGCCCCGCGCGACGTGCGGCGCTGGCGCTCCATGGAGGTCGGAGAGTGGCAGCTGATCAAGCCCAAGAGGGAAGATCCAGGGAGCCGGTTCCTGCACACGGCGGTGGTGTGGAACGATGAGATGGTGGTGTATGGAGGTTTTGTTGGTGCTGTAGGGAGAAGAGGGACGTGGAGCTTGAATTTGAAAGATCGAGAGTGGAGGCAGCTCAGCACTGACGGTGAAGAGCCTGAGCGCCGTGAGGAACACTCCGCCATCATGTGGCAGGATGAGATGATTATTTTTGGCGGTGCTGGCGGAGGGAAACATGTGTGTGACACCTGGGCATTGAACCTTCGAAGTCAAAAGTGGAAGCGGTTGGAGCCCAAGGGCGAAGTGCCAAAAGGACGATGTAGGCACTCGGCAGTCTTGTGGAAGGATCAGATGATAGTGTTTGGAGGCTTTGATGGAAGCAGCGGTTTGAGCGACACCTGGACCTTGGGGTTGAAATTGCAAGAGTGGACTTTGCTGAGGCCTATGGGAAAACTTCCAGGAGCGCATAGCGGACATTCTGCTGTGGTGCTTTCAGATCAGATGTTTGTTTTTGGTGGCCACTCAGGTGGAGCATCCAACAACATTTGGTGTTTGAATTTTCAAGCTCCAGAATGGATGCTGCTGAACATCACCGGCGACATACCGAAGCCACGCCACAACCATTCTGCTGTTTTGCTCGGCAACCACATGATCGTTTTTGGTGGAGAGGGTGACCATGGTTTCAACGAAACATGGAGTCTTGACCTGACCAACAACAAATGGAAGATGCACAGTTTGGGCAACCTGCCAACGGAACGGAGCAAACACCCCGCGGTTGTGTGGCAGCACGAAATGGTCATATTTGGAGGTGCTGGCGGTGGCGGAGGAAGCATGAGGAACGATACCTGGTCTCTGCGGCTGGCGCCGCCGTCCTCCCGCACGCCCCTGGCCCTCGCGACCACGCCGCGCCGACCTACGCCGCGGGGCGACGGCCTGGCGCCGACGCCGCGGGAGGAGGTGGGACTCGCAGCGGCGATGGGCGCGGTGACCGACCCGATGGTGGAAGAGGCCTGCCAAGCGATGGCCACGATGCCGGGCAACGCGGAGGCGCGGGGGGTTGTGACTGTGGGAAAAAAGAGGCGCATCTTGCAACGTAAGCGCCAGGTGTTTTTTGCTTTGCAAAGGGCTCGGGGGAAGCTCTTTCTTCATTCTTCTTCCTTGGAAGTGATGAACTTCTTCATTTACGGGTTCCAGCCATTTCCCCGTGTCGCTGCACCACCGGGCCGAGGTTCAGAAATGGGGATTGTTCACTTTGACCTACAGCAAGGGACACGAGCGAGCTGCTGCTGAAGCCAAAGCTGCCAAGTTGATCGTCGTGGCCATGAAAGCTCATGACAAGCATCCGCAGATCCAGGATTGGGGCAGCGTAGCACTGGCTGTTTTCTGTGCCTTGGATAGCTCGCCTGGCAAAGGAACACGTCAACCAAAACCTGTGGGTTCTAGGTTTTGCTTCTTGAGCCACACCCAGATCTTTCACTTTTCAGTTACTGTAATTATCCCATTGGGGACTGACTTGATGATTTCGGATGCTTCTTTCTATATAGCCGCCAAGCCATTACAGCCAAACGTTCGAAATTGTCCAGTGCACGCTGTGTATTCAATGATTTCGCACACAGGCGGCGCATGGCGGCGCAATCTTTATAGATAGTTTGAGGGACAGCTTGGCTTTCATGTGCTCTAGCGTGGGGCTAATTCAAAAAGCGGAGCTCCCCAGGTATGAGTGTTGCTTCTCTGGTGATTAGGTGGTTCGGCTAATTAGTTGGGCCCCCTTCATTCATCATCATTGAACTGGCCAAGAGAGCAGCGCTGCTGCTGCCCGAGAGTGGTTCGGGGGACGTGGCCCTGCAAGGGTGCCCTATAACCAACCAATCCCTAAAGTGACCTAGGTAGAAAGAGGACGAACATAATATAAAAATGTTTATGCACACTTACCATGTATCGAGGCCAGTTTTTCGTATTGATGCCCAGGAATCCCAAGCTGTTCCACTGGCTCCAGCGGCGTCTTCTCATGACGCCACGGAGGTTTGTTTTGGCCTTTGCTGCCAGTGACTCAGGTGCTGGAGCGGATCCCGAAAGCTGTCAGCGCAAGGAGGAGGCCATGTTGGAGGGAGCGCTGGAGGTTCTGGTGACGGCGACCTCCATGGCGACTCAGTTGGCACACCCGGTGTTTGAGATCCGCATGGAACCTGAACATGGGCCAGACTGGAAGAGTATATGCTTCTCTACAACCCACTGGTGTTCAGGTTCATAATATACTATTTTTGTGTTCCGGGCACCGGCCCGGCACCGGCCCGGCCACCGGCCCGGTCACCGGCCCGGTCACCGGCCACCGGCCCGGTCACGCCACCGGCCGGCCACCGGCCCGGCCACGGCCCGGCCACCGGCCCGGCCACCGGCCCAGCCCCGGCCCGGCAGTGTAGTTGGAATGACCACTTCCTTCTCTAAAATTTTCCCCTGCGTTGCCCACACAAAGGGATGTGTCAAGTTGAAATGGCAACATCCTTCTCTAAATTTTCCCCCTGCATGGCCCACAAAAGGGCTAGTCAACTTGGCATGGCCACTTCCTTCTCAAAAATTTACCCCTGCATTGCCCACAAAAGGGTGATTCTAGTTGGAATGACCACTTCCTTCTAAAAATTTTTCCCTGCATTGACCACACAAAGGGATGATTCAAGTTGAAATGGCAACATCCTTCTCTAAATTTTGCCCCTGCATTGCCCACAACAGGGTTAGTCAAGTTGAAATTTCAACATCCTTTTCTAAATTTTCTTCCTGCATGCGCCGCAAAAGGTTGAGTCAACTTGGAAGGGCCACTTCCTTCTCTAGAATTTACCCCTGCATGGCCCACGAAAGGGTGAGCCAAGTTGGAATGACCACTTCCTTCTCTACGACTCTACAATTTACCCTGCACTGCCCACACAAAGGGATGAGTCAAGTTGAACTGGCAACATCCTTCTCTAAATTTTACCCCTGCATTGCCGACAAAAGGGTGAGTTAAGTTCGAACGACCACTTCCTTCTCCAAAGTTTACCCTCAAGTGGCTCACCAAAGGGTGAGTCAACTTGGAACGACCACTTCCTTCTCTAAATTTTCCCCCTGCGTTGCCCTCAGACAGGGATGAGTCAAGTTGAAATGGCCACTTCCTTTTCAAAATGTTGCCCATGCATTGCCCATAAAAGGGATGAGTCAACTTGAAATGGCAACATCCTTCTTTAAATTTTCTCCCTGCATGCCCCACAAACGGGTGAGTCAAGTTGAAATGGCAACATCCTTCTCTAAATTTTACCCCTGCATTGCCCAGAAAAGGGTGAGTCAAGTTGGAATGACCACTTCCTTCTCTAAATTTTACCCTGCATTGCCCACACAAAGGCATGAGTCAAGTTGAAATGGCAACGTCCTTCTCTAAATTGTACCCCTGCTTTGCCGACGAAGGGGTGAGTCCACTTGGAAGGGCAACTTCCTTCTCAAAAATTTACCCCTGCATTGCCCACAAAAGGAGTCAAGTTCGAAAGACCACTTCCTTCTCTAAATTCTACCCCTGCGTTGCCCACACAAAGGGATGAGGCAAGTTGAAATGGCAACATCCTTCTCTAAAATTTACCCCTGCATTGCCCACACAAAGGGATGAGCCAAGTTGAAGTGGCAACGTCCTTCTCTAAATTTTACTCCTGCATTGCCGACAAAGGGGTGAGTCAACTTGGCGTGGCCACTTCCTTCTCTAAATTTCACCCCTGCATTGCCCACAAAAGGGTGAGTCAAGTTGGAGCGACCACTTCCTTCTCTCAAGTTTACCCTCAAGTGGCTCACCAAGGGTGACTCAACTTGGAACGACCACTTCCTTCTCTAAATTGTACCCCTGTATTGCCGACAAAGGGGTGGGTCCACATGGAAGGGCAACTTCCTTCTCAACCTTTTACCCCTGCATTGCCGATCACAGTTTGAGGCCACTTGGCCTCCAAACAGGCGAGTTTGAAGAGCCAGCTCGTGCAATCAATTTGTATAAATATATGTATACAAGTATGCAATGAGACCATCATGTATAAAGCGGTGTCCAAAACCTTTCAATATCTTTCAAGCGGCATTCCTTGGTTACCTCTTTTGGGGCCATGTTCTGGTTGTTTCTGGCTTCCGAAGCAGACACCAGGCTACAG